TCCCCAGCCCCAGGGGACCCGGCGGGGGAGGGGCCGGCCCTGCGGCTGGCCATGGCGGCCTGCCCGGGCCGGGGCCCCTAGAGAGGCCTGGGCTGCCTGCCTGGCCCCCGGCCCCCCTGGGTGTCACCCCGTGAGACTCAGGCCCCCTCCAGGCCCCTCGGCCCCAGACCAGAAAGAGGGGTCTCTGCCTGTCTCTGGGCCCCCTCTCTGCTCCCTGCCAGCCCTGGCGTAGACCAGGGAGGGGAGGTTTGGGAAGAAGGATGTTTGTTTGCCTCCACGCCGTTGGTACTGGGGATCAGGGTGGTTCAGACCCCTCAGGTCTGGGCCAGAGAAGACCATGAGCCATCCAAGGTCACACTGTCACTTCTCACCTGCCCTCACCCGGCAGCACCCAGTCTCCCCCGCTGAGAGTCACCCAGGCCATCCGGGGAGCTGTGTGTGTGTGTGTGTGTGTGTGTGTGTGTGTGTGTGTGTGTGTGCTGGGTGGCGATGGCAGATAGGAGGTCGGGGCTTGCCTTTCGGGCCTGGTGCTCCACGCCCCCCTTCTAGGGGGTCACTAGCTCCCCTGTGACCCCGTGTCCTCAACCAAACTGTAGCTCGGGGGTGGTGGGGAGTCTCCGAGCTCTGCTTTCCATTTCCTCCTGCCACTCAGAGCCGGCTGAAACAGGCGGGGGGAGGGAGGGGGCGGTGAGCCCCAAACCCTGAGCCTCCGAGGCCCTGCCCCGGGAAGGGCTGCTGCCACATGGGGCGCAGGGAGCGGACGTGGCCAGCTGTGGGGCACAGCGTCACCACCCTCCGTGTGGACCCCGTGTAGTTCATCCCTGCTGCAGTCATGGTTTGGGACAGAGGGACCTCTGCCCCCGTGGCCTGGGTGGGGGTGTTCATGGCGGGGGTCCTCCTCTCCCCTGCCCCCCTTCCTCTGTCTCCCTGGGAAACTCCCCAGAAAGTCCCCAACTGGAGAAGGGATCACGAGGGACACTTGCATCTGGGGTCCCCTGAACACCCCACCACCCCGCCCCTGAGAGTCCCCAATCAGCCAGCAAGTGGACCCTGAGGATCACATCAACTTTATTGGCCCCGAGAGGCGCAGAGCAGACTTGCCAGGGGCCCCGCGCCCTCACCCCCAAGTCGCCCCTCCAGTCTTGGCTTCTTGTCCCGGGGCCGTCAGCTCGCCAGAGAGAGGTCCTCGGAGGGCTCCCCGGAACCCGGAGCCAGGCGCGACCTGGCAGGAGCTGCCCAGGGCCAGGCCGGCTTCATTCAAAGAAGAACATTCCTGGTGTCCGGTAGAGGCAGGGTGGCAGCCCCAGTGGGTAGCCAGAGCCTCCCTGGACAGGGAAGCTGCCGGCCACCCAGGATTCTTTGGGGTCAGCTGGCAGGGGCAGGGGGGCTCGGAGCGAGGCTGGCGGGGTGGGGGGCGCCGGGGAGGGGGCTGCTGAGGCCAAGAGGTGCTCCAGGCCCGAGTCGCTTCCCACGCAGAAGTTCAGTGTCTGCAGCCGGCACTGGTAGCTGCTCGCGATGCCCGTTTCGGGGGCCAAGATGGGCGTGGGGGTCTTGCCGAAACCCTCAGCCTCGGAGAAGCCTGCGGGAAAGCCGAACGCTGGGCAGGGGGATGGCGAGGTGCCCACGGCGAGCTCCCCGGGACCCGCGGGCTTGGGGGTGGGCATCTCCTTGGGCTCCGCCAGAGGCCGAGACCTGCTGTCAGTGGTTGCCGGGCACAGGGGCCCTGGCAGAGACCCCACCAGGCCCCCGAAGCCGAGGCCCTTAGGCTCGGGCAGCTCCAGCGGGAAGGGGCACTGCCTTCCCGTCGCGGTGCCCGGGGCACCCGCGTCCTGGCTGCCGGCTCTGCCGGCGCCGCGGCGCGCCTTGGCAGGGCCCCTGGTGCCCTCGGTGCCCGCCCGCCGGGTGAAGCGGCGGCGACGGCGCAGGAAGCTGCCATGCTCGAACATGTCGTGGCAGTCGGGGTCCAGCGTCCAGTAGCTGCCCTTCCCGGGCTTCCGGTCGTCGCGGGGCACCTTGACGAAGCACTCGTTGAGGGACAGGTTGTGGCGGATGCTGTTCTGCCAGCCGGGCCGGTTGTGGCGGTAGAAGGCGAAGCGGCCCATGATGTAGCGGTAGATGCCGCTGAGCGTGGCCCGCTGGCCCGGCGAGCTCTGGATGGCCATGGCGATCAGGGCGATGTAGCTGTAGGGAGGCTTGGTGGGCTCAGCCGCGGGGGCCGGGGGCCCGGGCGGGGGCGGCTGCTGCATGCTGGCCGGGCGGGCTGGGCTGCGGCGGCTGGGACCACAGGGGCCGGGCAGGGCGTCCAGAGCTGGCGGCCGGCACAACTGCCCGGCTGGTTAAAAGGCCCACTGGCCCAGCCTCCCAGCCTGGAAAGGCAAAAAGGGGTGGGCCCCGGCTCGGCTGCCCTCCCTTTCCTCCCTCGCCCCCTCCCTCGAGGCCCAAGAGGGGCGGGCAGGAGAGGCCTGGAGGGGGTGGCTGAGAGCAGCCGCCAGGGGTGAAGAGAGGGGAGGGCAGGGACGAGGACGACGGAGACCCCCAGCCCTCATGCTAACGGGCTGCGTGCTGGTAGCTGGGAGCTGGGACAGGATGTGAGGCAGTGGGACAGAGATGGGACAGAAAACAGACAAACAGGCGGGGGAGGGGGGAAGAGAGAGAGGGAGGAGAGAGAGACAGAGACAGAGAGACACAGAGAGAGAGGGAGAGAGAGAGGGAGAGCGAGACAGAGACAGAGAGACACAGAGAGAGAGGGAGAGAGAGCAGAGGGAGCAGAGGCAGAGACATAAAAAGAGGGGGCAAAAAGCAAGCTGAGGTCGAGGCATGCAAGACAGGAAACACACACACACACATACACGCACGCGCAAACGCACACGCACACGCACACGCACGCGTGGATCGGAGGCAGACCAGACCCATCCAGAGCCATGCAGAGAGAAATAGTATACAGAAGGTTAGAATCACAGAAGCACAGATGGGACAGAGAGAGATCTGAGACGCAGACACGGGGAGGGAGGGAGAGGCAGAGAGAGCCAGAGCCCCCAGGCTTCTCAAGGCCCCCCTGGCTCCCCGCCTTCTCGCTCGGTGCAGAGCCGGCAGGCCACCCTATTCCCAGGCCTCCTCGCAGTGGGTGTTCGCCGGCCGGCTGCCTGCTGGCCAGGAAGGCTTCCTGACCCTTTCTGCCGAGCCCCAGCGCCCTCTAGTGTCCTGCGAAGGTAGGGCAGCCACCCGTCCAGACTTCAGCAAGTCCCTGTCTTGGTGTGAGCCCCAGTTTCCCCTTCTTGAAAGTGGAAACGGGGACCCCTCAGCTGTCTGGGCCATGGCAAGGAGCACTGGGATCCCTTACAGAAAGAGAGTCCCTGGAGAGCTGCACACAGAGAAAAGCAGGGTAAGGCTGTGGCTCTGGACTGCAGGCTGGGGTGGGAGGGCTCTATCTCTGAAGACTGCAGCCTTGGGCTGGGGGACCACCAACCCGGCACAGCTGGGCCTTCTGATAGAGGCTCAGCCTCCTCTAGCCTCTCCCACCCACGAGGAGGGATGTTGGCCAGGCAGCGAGTGTTGCCACTCGACGAAGACCAGCTTCCTGCGCCCTCCTCGGGATGCCTTTGACCCACTGCGCCAGAAAGCCGGGTTATTTGAGAAGCACAAGAGGAGACAGAGCTCATGAGTCACAGCACCAGGATTTGTATCTGGATCCTCTACCTCCTTTACACCACCCCCTTTTGTGAGGAGTAGGGATGGAACAGCCCTGAGATACACACACACACACACACACACGCACGCACGCACACACACACACGCACGCACGCACGCACATGCTGAAAAAAGTGACTGTGAGCCCCAAGGGAGTAAGGACCTTGCTCTGCTCTAGCAGTTCAGTACTAGACTGGAACAGAGGAGAAGCTCAAAAAATATTTTCTGAATGAATGAAAAAAAATTAAAGACCCAATTGACCTGCATCTTCTGTTGGATCAATACTCCCTGATAAAAAAAAGGCTAAGAGAAGTATTAGATCGTCACCTGAGTTATCTTTATTTCACTTTTGTTTTTTGGGGGACACACCCAGCAATGTTCAGGTGTTACTTCTGGCTCGGTGCTCATGGCAGTGCTTGGGGGCCCATATGTGGGGAAGGGGACGGAACCTTAGTCGGCCACATCAAAGTAAGCACACTACCCGCTGTACAATCTATTGCTCCAGCCTAAAACACCCGAGGCTATGCTCAGGGCTTACTTTTGGCTCTGCACTCAGGAATTACTCCTTGCGGTACTGGGGATGGGGACCTTGTTTCCTGTTTCACTGTCCCCCCCGCCCTGTTGCTGGAGATGGAATCCCAGGTTGGGCACATGCAAGGCAAATGCCCTGCCTGCTGTACTATCTCTCCGGCCCCTTATTTCTAATAGGGGCTACCCCCGCAGTGCCGGAGGGGCGTGATGCCCAGGATCACACCTGGCGATGTTTGGCCTGGAAGTGGGACCTTCAGTGCTCAGTCTGGGTAACGCAATGTTGCTCAGGCCATGGTGCTCAGGGCCACGAGGGTCATATTCAGTTTGGGGGTTTGAAGGTCTGCGTCAGTTTCTCCAAAGATGGTCTGGGCAGGCACCGAAGGTCGCATCCTCGTTTTAGAGTTTAAGTCTTCTGTTTCTTTTGTTTGTTGGTTTGGTTTTTGGGCCACACTAGGCGATGCTCAGAGGTTACTACTGGCTCTGTACTCAGGAATTACTGTTAGTGGGGCTCGAGGGACCATATAGGGTGCTAGGGATCAACCCCAGTCCAGTCACATGCTAGGCAAATGTCCAACCTGTTCCCGTTGCACTATCTTTCTGGTCTTTAAGTCATCTGGTGTTGAAAACCCTTCCCACCACACCCCCAAAGAGAAGAGACTTGTGGGAGGTGGGAGGGAGGGTCTGGAAATCCAGAGACCCTCCTCCCCACACACATACACAGAATACTCTGCCAGTAGGTGGCCCCCTCCAAACAGCCCTGAGGAGCTGACTATTGCTTGAACTCACTGCTGACTGCGGTACTGAAATTTGGGTGAAGCCACAGTCAAGTAAGAGCCCCACAGGGCACAGCGGTACCACTTTGTTATCCAGCAAATGTGCTCATGGGCTGCGGGGCAGGAAAGGCATGAGCGAGAGTGGCGTTCTACAGCCTTTCCGCATCTGCAGGTGGTGCTTGTCGTGCGGCAGCTGAAGGCCAGGGCATCCCGGCGAGGCCCCCAGAGATTGAGTCTCGTTTCCTCACCAGCAGTTCCCGGAACCGCCAGTGTAGCTGCCATTTCTGCCTGAGGAGCCGGGCCCAGGCCCAGGGCCAGTCTACCCGCTGCTGAGCTGTCAGAGGTGGGGGCTTCCACTGTCCCCCTGACCCGGGCCATGTGCGGTGAGGGGTTCCCTGGTTGCTGGCATGGTGTGGGCAGGGCTGCAGGTAGTGTCAGCGGCTCGCTGCGCTGGGCAGACTTGAGGGAGAGAGGCTGAGCTGGGCAGGGGGACTCTGAAGGACAGTCTGAGAGGAGGAAGCGGCTCTTCAGGCTGACTCGGCTGCAAACTCTGGGCCACAGAGCCTCCTTGGTTCAGACCCTTGGAGCGAAGGAGGAGTTCTCGGGCGAAGAGGGGTTCCACCTGTGGGTGCAGGCGGTGAGCCAACCCTCTGTGGCACCCACCCCTGCACCCACCCTGAGCTTCCTGTGGAAATTGAAGCCCCCAAGGTAACTTATGTGCAGAGGCACAAACCATAGAACCTGCCAGCCTGCTGGGCTGGGGACCGTGAGGGACAGTCTGACAGGAGCTGTGCTGGGGGACTGTGACACAGTCTGTGACAGGGGCTGGACTGGGGACGGTGACGGACAAGGCTGACCGGGGCCGGCACGTGCAGTCGGCAGCTAGAGTGGAACTGACTCACGTGAACCATGATCAGCCGCTCCTCAGGCTGGCCCGGGGGCCCCGGGTACTCCTCCCCAAAGCACAGTCGGATCTTGTATTCGGGCTCCGGGCAACCATCCAGCAAGTGGGCATGCAGTTCTATGGCATGAGACAGCGGGTGTTGGACCCAGATGGGTATCCCACATGCCCCAGTGCCCACCTTGTGCACATAACCCGTGCCATGCCCTATAATCCCACCCTCACTGTGTGCCCAGGCCTTGCACCTACTTGCCGTCCTGATGCCTGTCTCGGGCCCATTTATGAATCGCCTTCAGCACCCAAGCTCCATGTCCTGTGCCCCTTTGCCCCAGCATTCTCTCTCTCTCTCTCTCTCTTTCTCTCTCTCTCTCTTTCTTTTTTTTGCTTTTTGGGTCATACCCGGCGATGCTCAGGGGTTACTCCTGGCTTTGCACTCAGGAATCATTCTTGGCGGTGCTTGGGGGACCATATGGGATGCTGGGAATCGAACCCGAGGTGGCCACATGCAAGGCAAACGCCCTACCCGCTGTGCTATTGCTCCAGCCCCCCCCTCAGTATTCTCTTATGCCCACTCCATATCTACTGCCACTCTGTGCCTGGTAGTGGCATACATTGCTTGTGCCTGACCCGACACCCACATTAGGCTTAGTTTTCTAAGCCTACCCACGTGCCCATGCCCGATACTGGCTGCCCACCCCAGTGCCAGACTCCTGTTCACTTCCGGATGCACCTGCCCCAGACCGCTCCCAGTCCTGGGCACCTGGGTCCAGCCGAGGTCCCCGTCCATCCCAAGCATCCTCAGCCCGCGTCCCTGCACCCACCTCTTGCCGGCCTCCCCTGCTGCCCGGCCGCGGGCTCCCCATGGCCTCACCCGCGAGGAAGCGGCGCGTGTCCAGCAGCTGGAAGGTGCGTTCGCGCTCCAGCTTGTTCGGCCGCGTGCGGTGAGGGGCGAGCGGGCCACGCCAATATACACGGCCCTGGCACAGGCGCTTGGCGAAGACGCCCTCGGGCAGCACCCACAGCAGCACGCCGCGCTCCAGGTGTGGCAGCAGGCGCCGCAGCACGTGGGCGCCGGGCGGGGGCTCCGGGAAGCAAAACTGCGCCACATGCCGGGGCCACCCCAGCAGGTGCTCGGCAGATCCGACGGCGGCCCGGGGGCATAGGTGGCAGCCCTCAGCCGTGTGCACTGTGGCCTCCCTCACCAACTCCGCGCCGTAGAACAGCCGCACGTGCAGCCAGCAGTCTGCCAAAGGGAGAGGGCACCTGAGACCTCACTGCACGCCCCCTCCAGCCCTCCCTGCAGAGGGGCTCCGGGTGCCTCCTAGGAAGGCATAGTGACTCTGTGGTACGGCCGCAGCAATAGTTGGAATGGCGGTGGTCGCAATAGCGGTGAGAGTAGGGTGGTGGTGGTGGCCGTAGCAGTAGCTGTAGTCAAAGTAGCAAGCATGGTGGTGATATGGCAGTGGCAATGGTACTGATGGGAGTAGCGTGGTGGTGGTAGCAATAACAGAAGAGGAAGCAGAAGCAGTAGTAGCAGCAGCAGCTGTGGTGGGAGTAAATAGTGGTAGTAGTAGAGTAGCAGTGGCAATAGTAAGGGTGGCAGTGGTGGTAGTAGTAGAGTAGCCATGGAGGTAGTAGTAGAGTAGCGGCGGTGGTTGTGGTAGAGTATTAGCAGTGGTAGTAGTAGAGTAGCAGTGGTAGTAAAGTAGTATCAGTAGTAGTAGAGTAGTGGTGGTGATAGTAATACTAGAGTAGTAGCAGTGGTAGTAGTAGAATAATAGTGGTAATAGTAGTAGAGTAGTAGCAGTGGTGTTAGTAGTAGTGGTAGTAGTAGTAGAGTATCAGCAGTGGTAGTAGTAGAGTAGCAGCGGTGGTAGTAGTAGTGTAGCGGTGGTGGCTGTGGCAGGGGGGGTTGATAGTAGTAGTAATGGTGGTGGTGGTGGTAGGAACAGTCATGGTGGTGGGAGTAGTGGCGGTAGTGGTGGGAATGGCAGATGGTAGTAGTAATGGGGGAGTACTGATAAGTCACTTTTAGTAGAAACAACTGGGAGTTGGGCTTAGGATCATCTGTACTATGGGGCACAAGTGAAGCCCTCCCAGACTCAACTTCTGGAATTCTTCTGGAGTAAGCGTCCACCCAGCAAACTTTTAATCCTGGAGGAAACAGTCGCCACCACCAAGCAGGACCCTCACACAAGGTGCCAGCAGGGATCACGGCGGTGAGAGCCGTGGACTTCGCATCCCGACCTCTCACTGAGCCTCAGGGGTTACCCAGCTGTGACAGGCAGTAGGTCCCGCAAGGGGCATGGGCGGACCGCACTCCCAGTGAGTGTCAGCTGTGGTCACTGCGGGCCTGGCTCCTGCCCTGTTTCTCCCCGGTTCTGTGCATGGTCAGCGGGCAGGGGCTCCAGCCTCCTTACCAGAGTGGCCAAAGTCCTGCCAGGGTGAGGGCATCCAGGGAAGAGACAGCTCCTGAGCTTGGTACCCTGGGGACAGAGCAGAGTGTGGCCCACCTCGTCCTGGGCCTGCACCCCTACATCCAGGTCATGCAGGGGACATGAGAGGTGAGGGGGAGCCCCGTCCTCGTTCTTACTGTGGTCAGCCAGAGGATCTGGGGGCAGGGCAGCTGGTGGCAAGGAACCCCTCTGGGCCCCTCGGGGATGCGGCTCCTCATCCTTCACGGTGGCTGATTCACAGCCATCCTGGGCGTCAGGAGAGACAGTCGTGAGGATCACAAGGGTGGGAGAGGGCGACTGTGGGCACAGATGTCCCCCGACTGTCCCACTGGGGTGGCTGGGGTGGGGTAAGACTTTGGGGTTCCCAGCCCCTGCCCCCTAACCAGAGGAAAAGAGAGAGCTGAAGACCCACTGAAGGTGATGGGTTGGAAACGAAGCTTGCAGGGAGCGAGTGCTTGGAGGGACCAGGGCGGGAGGTGCTGGAGCCATGGGACCAGCACCAGGATGGCTGCTGAGGGGCCCTAGGGATGGCGGATGGAACCCGGGTGATGGGGACAGAGAAATGAACCTCGTCAGAGATGCAGGTGAGAGGTAATGGGGCCAAGGTGGTGGTGGTGAAGGGGGTTCGGGCGGAGGGAGATGATGGAGTGATGGCAAGAGCGAGATGGGCCGAGGGCATGGGCAGGGACTGAGTGGTAGGACCGGAACTGCTCGGGAGTGGAGTAGTGGACGCTGAGGGAAGTGTGGGCAGAGGGAGGGCGGCAGGCGATGGAGGTGAGAGCGTAGTCGGGGAGAGGAAGCAGCTGCCCAGGGTGGGGACAGGGACCCACGGGGCTGGAAGGTGGGGACATGCTGACCTTTTCTGTGCTGTGGTCCAGCCCGGTCACTTCTCCAGGGGGCGCCTGCTGGCTCTGGAAATGGCCCTTCTTTTCAAGGGGAGCAAAATCCTGGGGAACTGGATGGAGTAGAGTGACCTGGTTGCCTTCTGGGTGACAAGAGAGAACCCTCCCTCTCCACCAGAATGATCCCAGACACGAGTCCCTCCCTGCAATCCTGGGCACGCCTGGCTCTCTCTGGGCCTTGGTTGCCCCCTTCTTGAATGGGGAGAGAACTGGGGTTGGTCTGTGAGGGGCTGAGCGACCAGCCCAGGACGTGCGGCTCCGGAAGCCCACCACATCCCATCCATCTGGCAGAGTGGTAAAGTGAGCTCGGCTCAGCCGCGTGGCAGGGGCAGCGATACCTGGCCGGGGGGCTCCATCTGACACAATCCGGTAGACCTTGTAGGGGTCGTCACAGTCCAGCTGGCTGCTCTCCCGCACCTCGAGGAAGTCGGTGCTCTTGTTGAGGGCACAGCGGAGCCGCGTCTTCCAAGCGGGGGGGTCCTCCTTGTCAATGCCCTCCTGGTGTTTGCCCTTGTATATGGCCCAGGCCTGGGGGTAAGCAGGGGGCGTTTGGGGGGAACAGCCTGGGAAGGCAGCAGCACCCCGTGGAGGGGGAGGACGGCTTTGCCTCCCACCCTTCTCTGAACACCCCCATGTCCTTCCCTCTCACACACATATTCTGGAAATTTTTTTTTTTTTTTTTTTTGCTTTTTGGGTCACACTGGGCGTTGCTCAGGGCTAACTCCTGGCTCTGCACACAGGAATCACTCCTGGAGGTGCTCGGTGGACCACATGGGATGCTGGGAATCAAGTCCGGGTTGGCTGCGTGCAAGGCCGCCCTACCCGCTGTGCTTCACTCCAGCCCCATATTCTGGAAAATTTAAAAAATTTAAAATTCTGAAAACTATTGGGGGATATACCAGGCTGTCCTTGGAGGGGCTGTGTGGTGCTGGATTTGGGGTTCCCCACATACAAAGCATGTACTGCAGTCAATTGAGCTATTTCCCTGTTCCCTTGGGAGCTGCTCTTAATTACCAGAGCTAGAGGTTCAGGGCTGAATGGGGGAACACTATGACATGGTCCCTGTTTCCAAGGAACTCAAGTCTAAAGGATGCAAACAGCTGAGTTTATTACAACTTCCAAGGAATGGATTGTGATCAACAAAAGCTAGAGGGAGGTGAGATAAAAAACCCATGGTAGCGATTTGCTATCCGGAGAAACATCAAACAAAATCCTGACCCATTGACACAGATGATTAAGAAAAGCAAAGTTAAGAGGTGGAACGGGGTGGGGGGCGGCTGGAGCAACACACAGCCGGTAGGGCGTTTGCCTTGCACGCGCCAACTTGGGTTCGATTCCCAGCATCCCATATGGTCCCCTGAGCACCTCCAGGGGTGATTCCTGAGTGCAGAGCCAGGAGTAACCCCTGTGCATCGCCAAGTGTGACCCAAAAAGCAAAAAAAAAAAAAAAGAGGTGGAACGGTAAAACAGATAGAAGATAATATAGGAGAAAAATCTACAGGCAGAGAGGGTGCTTCTTAAATAGAACTTCAAAGGCATGAACCACGAGGCCAAAAAAAAAAAAAAACTGTAAAAAATCCACAAAGAAACAAAAACCAAATCAGCAAGAAACCAAAATCTAGAAGTTACAAGAAACTTCTGCAAATCAACAAGAAACAGAACATTCCTCATCACACCCCTGCAAGAAAAAAATTTCCCTAACAAAGGAGAAGATCAGTTTCCAATACAGACACGAAGGGCAGCAGATTATATGATCCCATTTATAAGAAATCTTCAAAATAGAACATTGTTAGGAAATAATTAGTGATTGCCGGCTGCTGGGGAGGGTGGAGCAGAGAGTAACCATACAGGAAGCAGAGTTTCTTCTGGTGCTAAAACCACTCTGGTGTTAGCATGGAGATAGCAGCTTGACTTTGAGAAGATCCTAAAACCCTGCACTGGGTTCATTTCCTCAAAGGGATGAATTGTAGAACATGTGAATTATAACTCAATAGAAAAATCTACGTGGTTAAAAAACAAATTTGTGCTTTACGAAGGAAGCTGGATATGTAGAAGCACACAAGAAAGTCTTTAAACTCACTGGTATAGACAGATGCAGATAAAAATAGGAGCTGCCATCTCCAAGTTGACCAAGACCAGGGCTGGTCAGGATGTGGACACGATGGGCGGAGCTTGGCACAAGAAAGTGCTTCTGGGTGGTGACCTTAAGGGAAAGTCTCTTCTCTGAGCAGAAATTTCAATTCCAAAGGAATTCTCACAGATGCAGAGACATCCACAGCAGGGTGACTTGGTGTCAGAGAGGGACCTGTGTCCCTTCTGAAAAGGACTATTATGGCAGTAAGGAGAACAGGAGATCAGGAAAAAGAAACTGTGAATATCCTCCAGGCCAAGTTTTTATTCTAGGGACCCAGGGTCCCTGAGGGGGTTGGAAGTCGGGTGTGGGGGGGAGTTAGTGTGTTAAGGGATGGGTCAAAACAGCTGGAAGCGGGGGGGGGGGGGGGCTGGAGCGATAGCACAGCGGGTAGGGCGTTTGCCTTGCTTGTGGCCAAACCGGGTTCATTTCCTAGCATCCCATATGGTCCCCCGAGCACTGCCAGGAGTAATTCCTGAGTGCAGAGCCAGGAGTAACCCCTGTGCAATGTCAGGTATGACCCAAAAAGCAAAAAAAAAAAAAAAAGCAGCTGGAAGGAAGTGGGGGACAGCCCTCAGTATTTCCCGCCTCCGAACAGCACATACGTCTCTATCTAGGAACAGACCATGCAGCCAGATGCTCTACACTAACTAAGTACACCCTGAGTAGTGCTTAGCATTCCCAGGGAAAGTTGTGGCAGTGGGTGGGGGTGGGGGAGCAGAAGGGAGCAGGGGTGAGTTGAGGGAAGCAGAGCTGGAGCTGCCTGCACGCAGCTCCTCTGAGAAGCAGCTGTTTGCGCTGAGCACGAGGGGTGTTGGCCAGGCAAGGAAAAGTGTTCCAGGCAGAGGGAAACACGTGTGCAAAGGTCTGGCCGTGGACCGAGATGCGAAACATTTAGAAACCGAAAGAACCGTGGAGCCGGGTGTAAAGTTGAGGTGGGTCGTGGAGAGAGATGAGGCCAGGGAGGAGCCATTTCTGCAGGGCTTAAGGTCTTGGTGAGGAGGTGGGACTTTATCCTGAGGACACTGGGGAGCCACAGGAGGATCCTGAGGATGGGAGTGTCAAGGCAAGAGGGACACTTAGATCCCTCTGAGCAAGATGAAAGCAGGGGCTGGAGTGGTGGAGCGCTTGCCCTGCATGTGGCCAGCTGACTCGGGTTCGATCCCTGGCACCCCACACAGTCCCCTTAGCATCGCCAGGCAAGTCCCCTAAGCACCACCAGGCATAATTCCTGAGTGCGGAGCCAGGAATAACCCCTGAGCCTCACTGGGTGACCCTCCCCCGAAAACAAAAACTATGAAATCTAGCAAACCACAGCAACATGCACAGAACAAGAGGGTATTAAGCCAAGGGAAATCATCCAGAGGGAGAGGGACAAACACAGAATGAGCTCTCTCAGGCGTGGAGCATAAGGAAACCGAGTAAGGGCATCACAGATGGCCAAGGTCCTTCCTCCGTGGTAAGACCCTGGGTCTGCCCAGGGGGCAGGGTGGGGGCAGGGGGAGACCTCGGGACTTTGGTGGGTGGACATTGGCACTGTGGGTGGATGTGGAGTTGTAACATTATACACCTGAAACGCTAACATTAACAGAATTTTACATCACGGCGCCTGAATAAAACTGAGGGGAGAGAAAAATCCCTCTGAGGGACCGAGGGGGGATGAGGAATGGGTGATGCAAGAAGCCATGGGCACTGTGGCAGTGGGGAGGGAGTGTCTTGGGGAGTAATGGTGGCAATGGGTCCAAGCTGCAGGACTGGAGGAGGCACCACTGGTCTCAGTAAGGGATCGGGATGAGGTTGGGACAGCAGTGACAGGTTGGGGCACCTGCCCTGTGTTCGGCTGCGTGGGCCTCATCTCCCACAGGGGAAAGGGGAGTGAGTAGGGGGGAGCTGAGGTGTGTGGTCCGGAGCTGTGCTGAGTGGGAGAGGTTTGGGCCACTGAGGCACAGTGTCCAGAGGCCCCTGACCAGGAAGCGTGGGGCTCAAGGCTGTGGTGGTGGAAACGCAGCAGAACAGGGATTTAAGGGAGTCAAGCACAGAAGGAGATTGGAGGGTGCGGGTCTCTGGAAGAGGAGAGGCTGGGATTGGAGGCTGAGAAACATGGACCAAACCGGGAAGAGGAAACTGAGGCAGGTGAGGATGAGAGGTAGGGACAGAGGTTCTGAGAGCATGGAAGAGGGAGGGACCCCAGCCTCTGCCCCCCCCCCCCCCCCAGAGGTCAGAGTAGACAAAGGCAGTTGATCCCAGCCTTAAATCTAGTAACTGGAGAATTGGGCAGCAGCTGGGGCGGAGATGGCGGTGGGGATGGGATCAGGAATCGGGGGCCGGCAGAGATCAGGGGGGCTGAGGTGGAGGCGTCTGTGCGTGGGGTGGGCTGGCCGCTGCTTACGCTCAGGGCAGAGGTTCCCGCGTTTAAACTTTCGGTGGGCGAGAGCCTGCCCGGGGCAGAGAGTGAGTGAGGATTGAGCAAGGGAAGCGACGCCCTGCGGGGGAGGGGACCCCTGAACACGCTTTCAGCGGGGAGTTGCCGGAATTTCCAGCCCGCAGTTGGCGGGCTGTCTGATTTCGCCCTGGGGAGTGGTGCAAAGAGGCAGCGGGAAGAGCCCAGGCGGTGTCCAGGGGTGTCCGAGTGCCCCTTCGGCAGGACTTACCCTGAAGAGCGCCGCGTCCCGCTGCGCCCGGTAGTCCTGCTTGGCCGCGTGCTTCCAGGGGATGCGGAACACGGTCTTGGCCGCGTCCTCCCAGCGCAAGCCCGCGTAGCGCCCGCTCTCGATCTGCGCCACCAGCCAGTCGCGGAGACGCAGGGGTCGCGGGCCGCCGGGGCCCTGGCCCTCCGCCGCGCGCCAGGGGTCGCGGGCCATGCGCGCGGGCCATGGGCGCGGGCGCGGGCGCGGCCACCTGCAGTGTGCGCGAAAGCGAAAGTCCCCGGGGCCCGGCCGGTCGGGTTTCACTTTCATTTTTTGGGCTCCCCGGGCCGGCCCTTTCGAGGTCGCTGGGCGCGGAGGGCGGACGCGCGGGTGCGGGGAGTTTTCCTCTTCCCAGGAGAGCGGGCGCTTTGGGCTTCTTTCTCGGGATCGGCGGGGAGGGGCTGGCAGGGTTTCAGGGCTTCTCACTTCTCCCAAAAGACCCGGGGACACAGAGGCAGCTAAGGGCGCCTTCTCTACTGCCCACCTCTTCCAGAGCAGCACGCAGGGAGCAAGCAAGCTCTGAGCACCACCAGGTGTGCCCTCCAGCCCCCCTCCCCCCACACACAGGCTCTTGGGTCAGACATATAGTTCCCTGGCTGAGCACGTGCTTCACATGCTGCAAGCACCTTTGGGTGACCCCCACCGTTGCCCCCCTCCTTTCCCCCACCCCCATCTTGCATATTCTTAGCCTCTGCCTGCAGATCTGCAGAACCAGATTTTCTGGCCAGGAAGCCCAGCAACCCATTCTAAGGAACCCCAGTCCCAGGGGACGCTCCCAGCTCTGTGCACAGCCACACTCGAGTATGATTTCCTTCCATAAAGCCCTGACACACCCATGTACTGGCTGACCCCCACAGTGCCGGGCTTTGCTAGAGCCTTTCCTGCATTTACTGCTTCTGAGAGGAGGTTCTGAGAGCACCAAGTTCTGTAACAAGGTTCTAAAGAGGTGCCAAGCTCCCAAGAGGCGAAAATCTCTTCGTGGGATTCGAACCTGTGTCCCTTGGCACCACCGCCTCTCCGTGTACCCGGCAATACAGCGAATGAATTCCTGGTGGTCTGTGATCTTCTCCTGGCAAGGGTTCTGTTAGCGTTTGCATCACTCCTTGCCGAATGGGGTAGGTGGGTGGGAAGAGGGTCAGGAGTTCCGAAGGAACCTCCTTGCTGAGTATGTGCAGAACAAACTGGAGGGCAGAGGCTCCTTCCTGTGACCTCCAAGTCTAGAAAGATCTAGAAGGATCCAAACAATCGCCCTAGGATTAGTGCTGCTGAAGTTCAAATCCAGTACCAGGCTGCTTCTTCTCTGTTGCGGTGTAGCTCTTGGGGTTTTTCTCTGAGCTCTTTCCCAGGTGGGGTGGTGGTGGTGGTGGTGGTGGTGGTGAAGGGACCAACTGCAGGGAGAAGTCGGTGTAGGGGCTTCTCCAACTACATCTAGGGAATATAAGGCTGGGGGCGGGGAGTGCAGGGGCGGTAGCCAGGTAAGGTGTTGCCCTTACCCTCAGCCCGGTCAGGCCAGGCGCGATCCCTGAATGCAGAGCCAGAAGCCCTGAGCAATGCCAGGTGTGGCTCCAAAAAAAAAAAAAAAAAATCAAGAATGGGCGGGGGTTGAGGAGGTGGAGAGGGGCTGCAGAATGAGAGAGACCGGGGTTGGAGAAGAGCAGGGCCCCAAAGCCTTGCTAAGACGCCGGCGGCGGCGCTGGGGGAGAGGTGGAACGCGCGCGGTCGGGGAACCGGTACCCTCTCCGAGTTCCTTATGGAGAAGGGCGGATTCCCGGGCCTTCGGGGCTGCAGACCTACCCCTCTCAGCCCTGCTTTCTGTGGGTCTCAGACCCTTCTCCTGCCTTCGCTGAATGATCGAGAGACGCTCACACAGGCAACTACTGTGTCTCTTTAATATCCACCAGGCCGCGTCCAACCCACCGCCCACCCGCCCCTCCCGCCGCCTTTAAGGGGAGGCCCCGGGTGCCCCCTTCACCAGCCCCAGGATAAGGCACCAGGTGGCTGCAGCAGGCCGCCCAGACACAGAGACCGAGGACACAGACGCGGACAAGCGAGGGGGGGGCGGGGGGGCCTCGGGCTCTGGGTCCGTCCCGGGAGCCGTGGGAGGCCCCGGCAGCCCCCGGAGGCAGGGAGCCGCGGTCGGGAGCGAGAGGGGAGCCGCGGCGGGCGGGCGCCTCACTTGCTGCCTTTGCGGGACAGACAGCGCGGGAGGCACGAGAAAGTCTGCTTGACGCGCGCCAGCAGCGGCAGCGGCCGGTGGGCGTCGCGGGCGGCTCGCGGCACCAGGCGCTGCAGGGCGGCGTCCGAGCCGCGGGGCTGCTGTGCCCCCGACGCGCCCGACGACGCCGAGCCCTGGCGGCAGCGCTTGCACAGCGGCAGCAGCGTGCGCACGTCCTCCTCGTCGCGGAACGGGCTCTCGCCGAAGCGCTCCTCCAGCTGCCGGCGAAGCTGCGGGGGGCGGGGGGGGGGGCGCGCGCCGCCTCGGTGGGTGGCCGCACCCCGGGGCCCCGCTCCTCCCCGCCCCGCTCCTCCCCGCCGGGGGTCTCCAGCCCCTCCAGGAGTCCCTGCCCTGGCCCTGAACCACCCAGCTCCAGAGAACACAGCGGGGACCACTGAATCCCTCCGCCACGGCGCACACACACACACACACACACACACACACACACACACACACACACACGAATCCCTCCCGCTGCGCCCCACGCACACGCGTGCACACACGTGAATGCTTCCCGCTGCAACCCCCACACACACACGAGCGCGCGCGCACACACACAAATCCCTGCCGCTGCGCCCCATGCACACGGGTGCACACACATGAATCCTTCCTGCTGCAACCCGCGCACATGAGTGTGTGCGCGCGTGCGCGCGCACACACACACACACACACACACACACACACACACACACACACACCTGCCTCCTCCTTTGCTTCTTTCCCCTCCAAGGGTGCGGCAGGACACCTGTTGAGGGCCTTCAGGTTTCCTTCTCTCTTGCTTCTCTCTCTCCCTCTCTCTCTCTCTCTCTCTCTCTCTCTCTCTCTCTCTCTCTCTCTCTCTTTCTCTTTCCCTCCCTTCCTCCCTCACTCTCATTCGCTTGCCCTTACTTGCTTGTTTTCCTTCTTCCATTTCTCTCCTTCTGTTTCTGTCCCCTCCCTTCCCCTTCTTCCCTCCCTCCCCTCCTTTCCCATCCCCTCCCCACTTCTCCCTCCTCTTCCCTTCCCAGAGCAGCTCAGTTTCAGACTCTGTATGTGCTTTCTGCCCCACAGGTATTAGAGAAGAAACTACTTGGGCTTCCTCAAGGACCCAGAGATGGGACAGGAAAGGGACAGACAGATATTTCTCCCCAAGGGGTCAAACACTCAGATGCTTTCAGGGTCCAGGTAGGTGGCTCAGGCGGCATTGGAATCTGGTCAAAGGGAAGGGTGAAAGGTAGGCTCCATGGCCAAGCTCTGAATTAGGAAGGGCAAAGAGACCGTCCTGGCCAAAGAAATCATACCTGTGGGGGTTTAGGCTAGCACAAGAGTCATGAGGTCAAGAGCCCAGAAAAAAAAATCTTTGGATGGAAGATAATCTCTTTTCCGCCCATGCTCAGAGGGCAGGAGAAGGCTGCCAGCCCCCCGCCAGCCCCTGCCAGCCCCTACCTTCCGGGAATTGCCCCAGCCAAACTCTTCAAGCTGCTGCCGAAAGCCAGGGTTGGGGTTGGCGATGGGCCGCGTGGCCTTGATAGCGTCCAGCACGTCCCTCCAGCCCAGTCCTGTGACTGTCATCACATAGGCCGTCACGATGGTGGTGCTGCGGGAGATGCCTGCAAAGCTGGGACGCCCCCACCCCGGGCTTCAGGTAAGGCCCACTCCCCTCCACCAGACACCCCAGCCTCCACCCTCCCACACCCAAGTGGGCCTCCCTGAGCTCTAGCCACCGCGGGCAGCTCCTGGCAGCCACCTCCACACGTGCCCCTCTGTGCCCTCTCCCCAGAGCACCCCAGGTGTTCTCGGCTTCAGCTCACTCAGGCATCTAGCTCTTTCTCAGGTACTGGAGAGACGGTGGGGAACGAAATGGACCTGGACTCTGCAGCTCGGGCCTTACCTTACGGCTGCGGGGAGCAGACACTGACCCAGGAGATAATTCCAGGCCAGTGGCCATGGCTTTGAAGATGAGTCTAGGGCCAGGAGTTTGTATAGGAAGAGATTTTAATCTAGTGGGGGTCAGGGACTGTTAGGGAAGGGACATCAAACAGCCCTGAAGATGGGTGGCGAAAAATGTTCTGGGCACTGTGAAGATGATGAGAGAGGAGCCCGGGTGGATTGAAGAGCAGAGGGAGAGGCCGGGGAAGTGAGTGCGGGATGCAAGATGGAGCGGAGCTCTCGCTCTGTCTGGAACTCAGGAGAACCACCCAGCAGTGGAGAAGGCAGGGGCTGGCTGACATCCATGGAGCCAGACACCCGGGGGAAGGTTCCTGGGTTCTTCCTCCTAGCCTGGGTACCAGTGTGTGTGCACCATCACCTCACAGGCCAGACAAAAGCCAGGAGTATGGGGGTGGACGGTGGTGCTGGCCTTTCAGAACGACCTTACCTCTCTCTGACCATAGCTTGCCAGATCTTCCTCCCCTCCCCCACCCTGCCCTCCTTTACAGAGGCAGAAGTTGAGTTTGGGGGAGAAACAGCTCTTTGGGCCAGAGTCCCCCAGCTGTTAAGGGACAGAGCCCAAATTGGAGCCCCCCCTCCACACTTAGTCTCTCAGCAGGCACTGTGCTCCTATGTCTGGAGGATACCCCCCCCACACACACCGCCCCTGCACTCTCCACCCCCCCCTCACCAACTCACCAGTGCACCAGGCAGTTCCCCCCATTGAGGCGGCAACAGTGGATAAAGTTGATACATTCTTTGAAGTGTTTTTTGCTGGAGAGGAAAAAGATAGTGTCCCCGCACTGGCAGGCAGGAATTCCTGGAGGTGGGACTTCCCATTGATGAATTGATGAGAGTCCCAGTTCTGGGGAGCTCTGGTCAGGCAGGGAGCGGGTGCCAGTACCGTTGAGGGGGGTGTGGGTAGTGATGGGGGCTAAGTCCGGTTTAGCAAGGGCAAACCCTGCGGTCCAGGCAAGAACAGCTGCTTGGGGCCTGTGGATTCTGTTTCCACCTTTATAGGGAGCCGGGGGTCCAGGGGGCAGGATTGTCTCTTCCAGCAGCACAGACGTAAGCCGTTTTGCAAACTCTGGGGACCTTTACCCTGTAGGACCTGACTGGGAACCTCAGCTCAAGCCATTTGAGCTTGGAAAATCTCTTATTTTATTTTTTCTTTATGAGCCACCCTGACGGTTCTCAGGGAACCATACATGATGCCCGGGATCAAACGCAGGTTAGCACATGCAAGCAAGAGCTTTCTACCTGCTGTACTCCGTAATGGTGGCCGCACCCCCCACTTTTTCCTCTCAGAGAGAGGTGGTATGCCTAAGGTCACACAGGACTCAAATGGCAAAGGCTGGCCAGAACCTAGATATCCTCTGCATGGCTCAGCCGGACCCTTGGGAATCGTGGAGGTGTATCTGATGGGGGTGTGGGCATGGGGGGCACTTTCTCCACTGCGCCACTGCAGAGGCAGCTGAAGGAGGGCAGGTTAAGAGCCAGTCAAGGGGTGTGAGTAAGGGGGTAGCTGAGGGGGCAAAACCCGGATCTGGGTCCCCAGGACAGCTCTCTGGCCTGTGTCCTCTGTCCTCCCCAGGACACCTCCGGCCGGCCCCACCCCGCCCCTTGCCACCCCCACAGCGGTGGCTGCCTTGTCCATGTGTGGGTCCATTCAGAACTTACATGTGTACCTCAGGGGTGTCACCCACTGGGATGCGAAGGTAGGTTATGTCCTGCAAGTACAAAACAGCTTGGGCAGTGGGTGGTCCTTACCTGTGCCCCCTTCCCCAGCAGGGCCACCCAAGCACCTTGAAACCCCAGGCCAGCTCCTGGCCAGCTCCTGGCGGGCCACCATTGCCCTCTCTGGCCAAAGAGGGTGGATGCCACCTATCAGGGCCTTCTCGCTCTGATGGCAATTTCAGAGCCTTCTGAGCAGGTTTTACTACATAGGTGACTTGGGCAAGAGGTCTTACTTGAAAGGACCCAGAGGCCCTTTTATTGGACAGCCCAGAATGAACAGCTGAAAGTGACTCTTCTCCAGATGAGGCTTAGAGTTACACAGGAAGAAGGGCAGAGCAGGTTTTTTTTTTTTTTTTCCAAAAACAGGTGTTTTTATCTTGAAACTAACAAATAAAATAACCCATAAGGGCTGGAGTGTTAGTAGAGCGGGTAGGGCACTGTGGTCAGTACACGCAGCTGACCTGGGTTTGATCCCCAGTACCCCATATGGTCTCCCAAGTCCTGCCCAGAGTGATTCCTGAATTCAGGGCCAAGAGTATCCCCTAAGCATTGCCCGGTGTAGCAAAAAAAATTTAAAAAGTCCACAAATGGGATTTTAAAACTATGTCCTACATATCAAAATGCTCCACCTGAAAATTAAATATTTGTTGGGAGGGTCACACCCAGCAGTGCTCAGGGCTTACTTGTAGCTCTGCGCTCAGAGATCGCTCTGGGCAGGGCTCAGGGGTCCCTATGGACTGCCGGGGATCCAACCCAAATCAATTACATGCAAGGCCTTACCCACTATAATTTCTCTCTGGCCCCTAAAATCAATCATTTTAAATATTAAAATAATCACTGTCTGTAATTTCTCTAATAAACTTGCAGTAATAGCCTTTACTTTATGCTTGACCCTCAGACAAGATTATAAAAGTCGATTTTGCCATGTTCCAAGGATCTCATCATCTTAACAAGGACCTCTCCCATTTTTTTTGGGGGGGGCTGCCATCTCCGACCGTGCTTAGGGGCTACTTCCAACATAGTGATGGGGGAACCAGGTGATGCCCAGGATGAAACTCAGGGTTTCCACATACAATGCATGTGCTGCGGCCCTCTGAGAGATCTCTCGGATCCAAGAATCTCTCTTAATCCTGTGATTGTCAAATGGCCCTTTTCAGATGCCTTTTCCTTTGCTGGCTTAGAAAGCCTGGGTAGGTCCTCATTGCTTATGGCTGTGTGTAAATCTCCTGTCCTTCCCTAACTCACTTTCTCCAAGGTCGCAAATTCCAGCATCTTTTGCAAGGTTTGCGATTTCACTTTGCAATGCATTTGGCCTTGGGTTGGCTGGACATTATCAGACCCTGACTAGTAATCTCACTGCAGAGAGGGGAGGAGAGAAGCTTGTGAGCAGAGCCAAGGGCTGTTAGAGCAGAGACTCATTTTGTAAGCAGGCATTCCATTAGTAAATATATTCATGACTTGACAACCTTCTCGTACAATCTAATGACTTTCTACCCCAAACACTCAAAAATAAGCCTGCCCTATAAAGTGAAATTGGACTCCAGTGACCTGGAAAGCTCTTATTGGAATGACACCGGGAATCACAGATTAGGGGCGACTGCTCTTAGCTACTATCCCACCTTACACGTGGGGAAAGTAAGGCCTGGAGAGAGGACCCATCCTGCTCAAGGTCACACCTCAAGCTGGTGACAAAGCCTGGTCTGGATCTCAGCTGGCCAGTGCCCTTTCCTGCTCACAATTCTTTTCCTTTAGCTGGTGACACAGGCTCTGAAGAGCCAAGGAGGGGACTCTATTCATGGGCTACGAAGATGATTAACTTGGCTATTTTAGCAGCTGTCATTTGTCAAGAATCTATTGTGTGGCTCGCAATAACTCAGATGCTGGTATCAAATTCCCTTTTTACAGATTAGGCAACTGCAGCTCAGCGTGATCAAGGTCACTGAGCACAGTGGGAGGAGATGGACTTTCTCTAGTATGCGTGTGGTCTTAACGGGCTCCTTGCCTCTTGAGACTCACAGCACCCTTACCCTCCTTTTTTTTCCAGGACCTGAGACTACCAGTTCTAATCTGCTGATGGGGACTGTGCCTGGCAGCAGATAAAGCATCTTCACTCTTCCACAGCCCTTTTGCAGCCTTGTGACAGCCCTGAGTGGCAGAAAGAGCTAAGGCCCAGAGTCCTGGAGTCGAGGTCACACAACCAAGACCCAGAATCATCTACTTGGAATGGCGTGTTCAGCCAAGGCAATGGGAATGCCACGTGGGGCCTTTGAAAGGCTCAGGCCTGTGGACGACGGACTGTGTCCAAATCCCACTCTTTAGCTTCTTGGATTTGTGGCCCTAGGCGAGGTAACCTACCACTCTGGCTTCAGATGTCAAAGAAGGATGCTAGTGTAAACCAGGCCCGTGTTTAACCAGAGGTACCCGCCTGCATCAGGAAGGTCATAGTTTCAGATATCTGATAATCTGGTGTTGCAGGTTAAGTCGGAGTACTTCTTCTGACCTAGGCAGAAGCTTGGGGGAGGGGACAGGAATACCTGGAGTAGAGGCTGGGGGGACTCATGGATGGAAATGATGTGTGTGATCTTATTCCGGCTCAGCTGATCCAGGTCTTTGGCATCTGAAAGAAACAGGAAGCTCAAGCCAGTCTGACAGGTGTGACTTGTTCCCTTCCAAAGCCCAAGCTCTCCGCTGGCTCCTCCTGCTCCCAGAGCCTCACTCTCAGCGGGCTATCTCTCTGCGGGCTGTCACTCCTCAGGCCTTCCCCACCTCCTCCTTGGTGCTACCAAACCCCGAGGCTTCAGTCTTGTGACTGGGAAACCCACAGCAACTGCCCAGCCTCTCCCTGGTTTTGCCTGTACTGTTTATTGTGTTTTTTTTTTTCATTGCCAACATGTTTCCCTGGCATCTTCTTGACCCTGTAATTCTACTTCTAGGAAACTTGTCTGCAGAACGCTTTGCTGACGCAGAAAGTTGAGAGGAGAACATGCTGTTGGATGCAGTGCTGCCTGGAACAACAAACCCGCTGGAATTGTTAAAAAAAAAAAAAAAGAGAGAACGCCAGGGCCATAGTACAGCGGGTAGGGCACATGCCTTGCATGCGGCTAACCCAAGTTCAATTCCTGACACCCCATTTGGTCCCCTGAGTTGAATAAGGAGTAAGTCCTGAGCACCACCAGGCACGGCCTCCAAACAAGCAAGCAAACAAACAAAAAATGGGAACAACTTAAGTGTCCACCCAAAGGGAATGGGATAAACAACAACCCACTCATGGAGTGAAAACCATTGAAAAGGTCCCATGAGCTGATGCCAGGATGTCCAATATTTTAGTGAACGGGAAACACAGCTTACACAACATCATGCAGCATCAGTTTCTGCCTTTAAATATTCCATCGTGGCTGTCTCCAAGGGCGAGCTTTTCAGCACATGCAAACCTCGTATAATCAGTGACTTATAACCAGCTACGTGACTAAGTGACTTCTCCCCCTCTCACTGGAAATATCCGCTTTCTCCTTGAACACATGCTTCCCAAGCACTTGCTGTGTACAGCCTGACCAGGGGGCTTGGGGTCAACTACTTGGTTCCTGCTCTCTCACTGGCTACCTGGACAGAAGGTTCAGGTCTCACTGAGCCAAATTCTCCAAGACCAAATGGCGTGAAGTTCTCAAGCCACTCTCAAGAAAGATGGGGACCCTAAAACTGTCCCCGGTTCCATCTCCTGCCCTTTCTGCAGCTTTCTCTAGTTTCACAAAGGCAAATGACTTTTCCCAACTTGGGATCTCCCAAGTCCCAAACCAGCCTGTCTTCTGGCCTAGGACAAGGCCCCAGGACAGAATAGGCCTGGCATGGCCAAGGACAAGGCCTCAGGACAGAACAGGCCACTGAGGTCCAGCCAGACTCCAGAGATGTCTTCTTCGCTTAAGAGCTGGTGCGGGGAGGGGAAGGAGGAGAGATTCCAGCTTTTCAGCTAGAAGCAGCACCCCCCTTCCCTCAAGTTCAGATGCTCAGGCAGCAAGAGCTCTTAGAGGCAGGTGGGCCTTGCGCTGAGGGGGGCTGAAGCTTGGAGCAGACTGGCCCAGAGTCAGCACATGAGGGAGCCTCGTGGACTCCACTCCCCTGGTCCTCAGGCGCTCTGGATACCTCCCAACCTGGCATCTCTGCCCTGCCCCCCCCCCCTCCCAGCCCCCCAGCCCTCCTTGGAGCAGAGCATGAAGGCAGGTTGTGGGCCTGCGGCCAAGGGAGGGAGTTCTCACCAATGAAGTTTCCGAGGTAGAGTCCAGGAAGTACCTAAGGAAAGACAGGCAGGCCTCGCTTAGGGGCTGCACCCCAGGCTCACAGCCCCCCCTTGGTCCCAGGAAGGCCAGCTGGCTGGATCGCAGGACTGGGAGAGTAAATCCTCCTCTCCGGGCCTCCGCAGGGTGAGAGGGGCAGGGGAGGGGGCCTGGAGGGAGGCTAAGTGGGTAGAAATGAAAGGGGAGGGGGCAGAAAGATCTCGAGGGATGGGAGGAGCAAGCGGGGAGGGGCTGGGCCGGACCACAGAGCAAAGGGGAAGGCCTTTGCCAGCTCCCTGCTGACCCCAGGTTCAGGTCCCAGCACCCCGCAGGATGGCCCATGCATCTCCAGGAGTGATTCCTGAGCACAGAGCCAGGAGTAAGCGCTGAGCAGCACGGGGTGTGGCCAAATATAAATAAATAAATAAAAGCAAATGGGGTGGTGGGGGGGGGGAGGTGGACTTGCGGGTGGGTGGGGGAAGCCGAGACGGGGAACGGGAAGGCAAGGACAAGTGGAGGGTCCTGCAGATGGGGGCAGGGGGAGGATGAAGCGCCAGTTCCACAGAGCCGATCCCAGCGGTCGGAAACGAGGGGGACTGAGTCTGGGAGGGGCAGCCAGAGAGAGACCGGGGGTGGTGGGGTGGGGGTGGGGGAGGAGGACAGGGACAGGCAGGCACAGGTCCCCAGGCAGGGCAAGCCAGTGAGCCCGGGCGACCCGGCCTGACACCCGGGGAGACCCGAGCAACGGACCCGGCGAGACTCCGAGCCCCGAAGGTCAGAGTTGGGGGGCAGCGCGGCCGTCCGGGGCAGACCCCGGGCGGGCTGCGCGCACCCCCCCCCCACCTCCCGCCGTCTTACCTTGGTCATGCCATTCCCCATGGTCCTGAGGACCGGGGGCCCGGCGCACCCCCAGATCGTCGCTGGGACGGCTCTGGGCTCACAGCTGCACGAGCGGCCCAGGCTCGGCGCCTGCAGCCTGCCGGGGACCCGCGGGCCTGGCGCGCCCTGGCCCGCCCCGTCCTGCCCCGCCGCCGCCGCCAGCAGAGCCGGTGCCGGGCTGGGAGATGATGGTGAAGCCGCCGCCGCCGCCACCGCCGCCGCCGCCGCCGCCACCGCCGCAAGCTCCTCCTACCCCCTCGGTCATGTGGGCCCCCCTCCCCTCGGGTCGCGGCGGGGGGCTGGACAAAGCCTCAGTGTGCCGGGCCCCAGGCCCGCGGGACAACGGCAGCTTGTTGGGGCCGCGCGGGGCCGCCCCCTCCCGGGTGGGGGCGGGGAGCCCACCCTCCTCCCCTCCCCCCCCACCAGCCCTGGCACTGTCAGGCGCGGGCCGGCCGGCGCACCCCTGGACAGAGCCCCTCGCCGCCGAGGACGCGGGGGCCCGGGGCTGAGTGCGGGCTCTGCCTGCTGCCTCCCTGCGGGGGGCCCCCCCGGGACGACCCGGCCAGCTCCTCAGTCCTCAGGCCTCTGCTTTCCAGCAGAAACGGCAAGGGGGCTGGGCTTGGAATGCTTGAGTAACGGTGCTCTTGAGATTCTGTTGGAGATGAGGGAAAGCGGGTACACCTGTCTTCTGTACATCCCCTCTCCTGCCCCCGCCAGGCCCTCCGACTTTCTACCTGCCAGCCATCAACCTCCCAGACTCAGTCATCGCTTCCTTCCTTCCTCCTTCTTTCCTCCCGTCCTCCTTTCCACTCAATTAACCATTCATCCAGTTCAACTAACCATCCATTCATCCACCCATCCATCTATTCCTCCATCCACCCTCCTCATCTATCTATCCTCTATATACTGAACCATCCACCCACTCAACTATCTATCCATCCTCTCCATCTATCTATCCTTCTATACATTCAACCGTCAGTCTGTCCATCCATCCATCCATCCATCCATCCATCCATCCATCCATGTATTTCTCCATCCATCCTCCTCATCTAGTCTTTATACACCCAACCATCCACCCACTCATGTAAACACCCATCCATCCATCCATCCATCCATCCATCCATCCATCCATCCATCCACCCATCCATCTATCTATCCACTCACCCATCTATCCATCTTCTCATACCTTTCTTCTATCCTTTGGCCCCTATGAGGATGGTCCCATTTGGGTCAGCTCTGCTGGAACCAAGCATAACTTCCCTAATGGGTCCCCTAAAATCAGAGATAAATAGGAGGAGGAGGAGGGAGGCAGAGTTACAGTCACTTTAGTCCCTTGGAGGAGAGGAGACTTCAAGGGATGGAGTGAAAAGCAAGAGTCCTGGACGATGAGTCTGGAGACCACAGTTCAAGAATCTGTTCACCGCTTACCTTCTGGGCAACTGTGGACAAATTCCCAGGGTGGTGTCAGGAATGGGCTCAGTGCTAGAGTTCATGCCTTGTGTTCTATCCCCAGCACCATATACATGCAGACAGGTCAACTTGGGGTCCCAGCTACCCTGTATGTCTCAGTGTGTTGAAGTTGCCCTTCCTGGCTTCTAGGACCAGCTTAAGAGTATCAAGTAAATGAGATCAGAGGGACTGAAATAAAAAGAGTGGAACCAGCTTTGTTTCTCCAGTGATCCCCTGTCCCTACTCCTTCGACTATACTAGTGATCTTCGTGGGCAGCCTGATGACACATAGCAGGATGCAGAGTGGAGAAAAATAAAACCCATCAGCAGATTCACAGTGTACAGAGGCCTTACTCAAATTATGCAATTTCTCTGTGCCTCGTGTTCTCATAAAGACCAAGTTACTTGGCCAGAGAGAGCGAGTATAGGGGCTAAGGAACTTGCCTTGCATGTGGCTGAACCAGTTTGATCTCCAGCACTGCACGGTTCCCCAAGAACCTTAGGAGTGACCCCCTGAGCACAGAGCCAGGAATGGGCCCTGAGTAGCACCAGATGTAGCTCCATTCCCCTCTCCATCCCCCAAATAGCAATTACTCTATATTTAGGGAACATCTACCGTATTGTAGGTACTAGGGACACAGAGGTAGGCAGAGACAGCTCTTACCATCATTGGTAATACTCTAGCCAACGTTACCCAATAGGAATATAGGAGGCACTTATGCAATTTCACATGTTCTAGGAGACACATTATAGAAGTAGAAACAAATTGTTAATATTTGCATTTAACACAACAGATCCAAAATAACACATCAACACGTTTATCAGTACTCATAAATGACTGATGACAACTTTCACAGTCTTTGATTATATTAAACCTTAGCGTTTCAGCGTGTCTTTCAAATGGAGCACACATCTCGGTTCAAGCTAGCTGCAAGTCAGATGCTTCATAAAACCCTGTTTGGCCAGTAGCCGCGCGGTGGATATCCCAGCTTAAAGAGGGAAGGTGAAGGAACAAGTGAGGCAAACAGAAGAAGCCTATACAAATGGAAACATTGTTCTCTGAGGAAACAAAGGCAGGGCAGGAAGAATCTCTCTCAAGAGATGACATTTGAGATGAGACCTATCTCTGAGCTATTTAAAGACTGCAGAGAACATTCTCCAGCAGATGGAACAGCAGGGGCAAAGGCCCTGTGGTGGGAAAAGCTTGACCTTTGTGAAGAATTAGGAGGACTGGAGGAATGCAGACCTAAGGAAGTGGCACGAGACCAGAATAAAGAGGAGAGTGGGGGACCCAGTATGCGTGACCATTTATGGCTGGGATGGGTTATTACATTTCCTGGGGAGACCAGGGAGGCTGACTTACCTGGAGCCTGGAGTGAGACGGGATGAGGGGATAGTGAGGAGGTAACTGTACAGCCGGGGAGGACGAAATGATGCCCTGAGACAGAGTGGGAGCTAAGAAATGAGACGCGGGAATGGAAGGGCCAGATTCAGCATATATTAACCTTTCAGCAAGCTGCTGACAGCACTTGCAGATCGAGTGGATGTTGGGCAAAGGAAGGAGTTTTGGGACCATTTCCAATGCCCTGCCCTGTAAATCACTGTCGGGGCACAGGAGGAAAGCTGGGATTATTTATCTGTTCGTCTGATGTTTACCAGGTACCAAGTTTTACACGAAAAACTGCACACAGAATGTGCTGCTGTCTGGCTCGTTTCCCAGAATGCCCCACCCCATGGCATAAAGAAAAACTGAACAAGGGACCTGATCAACGAAGCCCTTTGTACCCATACTTGGTTGCTGGGAGGAGAATGATTTCACAGACACAGAAAAACTGCCATTTAGTTAAACATCCTTTAAAAAAACACAAATGTAAGGGACTAGAGTGATAGGACAGTGGGGAGCGTGCTTGCCTCGCACACAGCCAGCCCAGGTTTGATCCCCGGCATCCGATATGGTCTCTTGAGCCCCGCTAGCAGTAATTCCGCTAGCATGGACCCAGGAGGAGTCTCTGAGCAATCCCAGGTGTGGCACCCAAACCAAAATAAAACAAAATCAAATGTAGTTACACATTTAATATGTACATACTATTGAGTCTTTGAAAATGTGAGTTGTCTCAAAGTCCAATTTGCCTTAAATAAGTCATGAAGTGACTGCTTTGTAAAACCAATTATATGAAGAGGCTGAGATGTCAGGTTTCACTTTGTCATTTCTTAAAACCCTTCAGTGATTTATTATGATGTGCCAAGTAATTGAGGCAACCAGTAGCATGAATTTGGTATTTATCTGTGTTTTTAAACAGATACTAATATTGCCATACCCATATGTATATTGAATTACTTTTGAGTATGTGTTTATATCTAACACAGAATCTAATCTTTAAAAAGTACTTAGCTTTTTACAGCTTATACCTAACACAGACTGTAATCTTTAAAAAGTACTTAGCTTTTTACAGCTTTCTTTCATGCATTTAAAAAGTTTGGAGGATATTTCCATATTGATAAAAATCTGAATATTCATTTATTATATATGTATGTATATATGCTATGTTTATGCATATATATTTTTGCAGTGCCGAGGATCAAATCCAGGGCTTCACACATGGTTTACTGTGGAGCCACACCCCCAGCCTTTAAGCATTTATTTTTACCACTGTATAGTATTTTCTTATCACTTATCCCACTTTATTCATCTCTCTTCCTATAAGTTACATTTAAATTGTTTCTGATATTCTCTATAATGGAAAATGTTGCAAAGAATACCCTTATACATATGGCATACATATTTCACACTTGTGAAAGCTTTCCTAGGAAAGGTTGTAACTTTGCACACTAGCTGCAAAATAAAAAGTTGTTGGTTGTGCAGCTATATTTGGAGCTACAGCAAAATATATGTCCAATAGCGAAATTGATGGGTTGTGTGCTCTGTGTATTCTCAGCTTTGGGATATTATCAAATTGCCTTCCAGAGTGTGAGTTTTCCAGAGCCTATAAAGGTTTCCATTGCCCAACCTCCAAATACTTGGCATTGATGTAGTTTCTATTTTTTGTCCAACTGGTGTAATTCAAAGCATATCTTGTACTTGCTTTAATTTCTCTCTCTCTTTTGGATCAAGGTTGGTGATGTTCAGGAGCTACTCCTTGCTCATTGCTCTGGGTCACTGTTGGTGGTAGTCAGGGGACAATACTAGGGATCAAACACGACTTACTTAGATGCAAAGTATGTGCTCTCACCCGCTGAGCTGTCTCTCCAGCCCTGATTTGTATCTCTTAACTTGCTTATTGGCTATTTGGACTTCTCCTTTCCTTTGTCCATCTTTTGTCCACTTTTTCTTTTATAAGACTTTTCTCCCCTGGGTGCTAGAGTGCTAGTACAGTGGGTAGGGCATTTGCCTTGCACACGACCGACCCGGATTCGATTCCCATGGTCCCCTGAGCACCACCAGGAGTAATTCCTGAGTGCATGAGCCAGGAGTGAGCCCTGTGCATCGCCGGGTGTGACCCTAAAAAGCAAAAAAAAAAAAAAAGACTTTTCTTCCCAGTGGTTTATAGGAATTTTTTTTTTTGAGGAATAGTTTTTTTTTTTAAATAAATGATGCAGATCCTTGTCTGTAACTTGTCTTTAAATTTATAGTAAAGTTACAGTATCTCTATGGGTGGGGAAGAACCTGGGGACACTGATGGAGGGAAGTTGGTACTGGTGGTGGTGGTGGGATGGGTCCTGGAAGATAAACTATGAATAACTTCGTAAATCACTATGTCTTAGTGAAAAAATAATAAATTTACAGT